ATATTATATTATATTATATTATATTATATTATATTATATTATATTATCAAGACTTGTCAAATAATAGGGTAATTAATTCCTCTATAACAGAGTAATCAGAAGATCACTTGGTCCATTGAGAAATGTACCTAAATGCGAGAGGAATACCCTGGCAGTGAAGGACATTTGCTTTGTTGCAGAAGACCTGCGACTGTTTGTTAGCACCACACCACGGGGTTTTACACCACCTGTAACTCCAGTCCCGGGAAATGTGATGTCCTCTCTGCGCTCTAGTCATCGTGGGTATGCGCATGGTGTGCATACATACACCCAGTGAATAAACATTTCAAAAATGTTACTAAGAGTGCATATAAAACTTTCAAGGACTATTTCTAACAGGAACTCAATGACTGGCTCTCTGACCTCCCCCCCACCCCCCAAGGGAGGAGCAGTCCTGTTAGGCCACAGAGGAGGGCTTTGCAGCCAGTCCTGAAGATACCTGATAAAACAGGATCAGATGAATGAGGAGGACATCCCCCCTATCAGTGGACTTGGGAAGGGGCATGGTGGAGATGAGGGAGGGAGGGTGGGATTGGGAGGAAATGTGGGAGCGGGATACAGCTGGGATACAGAGTTAATAAAATGTAACTGATAAGAAAAAAAATAAAATTAAAAAAAAAAACAAAAAAACCTTTGAAGTAAATAGAAAAATGCAGAAATCTCCAAGACTGTGCAATATGTATTTGTATGTCAAAAATATGTAAAATGTGATGCTAAAGTGAAACATAAAATTACTAAATTGAATGGTTAATATTTTTAAAGTAATTATATATGCATCTTGTATATTGAAAAATTGTCAGGCTTTAGTAATTTTTTTTCCTGCACTGTTTTTGGATGGTGTTTCTAAAATCAGTCATTACAGAGGTTCAAGCCCTCCATACAAAGTATGCTGTTAGTAACCATTTCTGAGCGTCAGAGATGGAAATTAAGATCGATTTATTCCTCTCAGCTAAGTGTTTGCCTCTGTTCATTTCCTCAACAGTTTTAAATCATTTCCTGCTGACCCTTCTGTGAGTAGCTAGTTCTGCCTCCCTTAGGAAGAAGTAAACCCACACCTTCAGATTTAGTATCTTGCTCTCCAAAATAGCATGATTAACATAATCAGATATGTCTGCTGCACAGGGATCATGATTGAAAGCCACTCTTGACACTAAAAGTCATCTAAAAGATTAATTCCTTGGGTTCTCAGTTCTTTGGAGGGGTGCTGGGACTCAAATGCAGGACCTTCTGCATGCTCAGTAAACATACTTTCCAGGCAGGTGGCTAATGTTTTATTAATGTTTATTAGTTTTATATTTATTAAGGCAAATAATGCACTACTTAAGGAACTCAAATGTCCTTGGAATGGGCTTAAATATTTTATTTACTACGAACCAGAGAACAAATACTTTTTAAGAGAAAGGCATGATTAGATAAATATTTTATAAAGCAAGTGATTCTCTGCTCATAAAAAGCTGTTTTAGACAGATTTTAAATACCTGAATCACACGTCACATACGATTTACTATCCAGTATCAGTTTCATAGATTATTATGAGACGTGAACTTTGAATAAAACTAAATGACTCATCTGAACTTTGGTTTTTTTGTACCACTAGCATCTTTAAATATGCCATCTTCAATCTTCAAAAACAAGAGAAGGAAATGAAACTCTTGGCTTTGACTTAGGAAGACTGTATTAAAGGCCAAGCTTAATTACTCTAATCAAATGAAGTTGATCTTAGCAGCAAATGGAGACTTAAAAGTATAAACTTACTAAACTGTAAAGCCTTCTAGGGCAGGTCTCTGATCCCACTGACACTGTACCCGGGACTCTGCCTCCTATGGCTTAGATGCCATTGCCCAAAGGCCTACAGTGTGCCTAACACATGTCTAGGTATAACGCATGGGAAAAGCCTCTATAATGAGGAAAGACAGATTTTCTAGCCTTTTATTTGCCACAGTGAGGGGTGATTTCTTGGCCAATGCCAGAAGAACCGACTAGACACCAAGACCTGTGGCAGTCACTCAGATTAGTCATCTAAAGAGCAAATTTTAAATTTTGAGGTTATAAAGAAATGGGTCATGCTAAATTTACAAGGGCATGAGTTTGATTTGGAATATAGTCCTGGATGTATAATTCTATGTACTTATGTGCATATATGTATGTTTCTATGTATTTGTACATTACTCTACATTTAATCATTGATACTACTTGAAACTATTCAGAGCTGCCCTACAAAAATGCACACAAAACTAAACTACTTAATTTTGTTTTTAACACACTACCCAAGTGTTCAGATATGCACGTGTAAGTTTAAACAGGAACACTGTGCAGAAACACAACTAATAAAAAACGCCCCACACTCATTTGAGAAAGAGAACTGAGGATTATAGAATCTTTAAATTTATTAACATCACTTTCCACGTAATGATAAGGTCAAAAGTCAAAATAGCAATTTAAGGGCTAAGTTAGAGGACAACATTTCACTCTTCTTCATTTCCCAGCCCACCTTGCCGTTGGAAGCTCTGACCAATTTTCATAGAAGTGAACCGCAAGAAATTTTCTCTTTAAGCACGTCAACTACTGTTACTGCTTGAATCTTACCTTCCAGGCTTGGTGCTGTATTTCTGTAGTCGTGCTTTAACTTCATCGTACGTGAGAAATGCCATGTATCCTGGATGTGTCACAGCTAAGAAATTCCAATTCCGTAAAATAGAGCCCCAGGGCTAAACACAGAAATAAATGGAAGGAGATTAACCAGAGAACACACAGCAATGATACCATTTCACACACTTAGGAATGAGAATCTCCTTGATATTTTTAAGTTGATATGGTGTATGAGAATTAGGTCAACCTTTATTAATTAACAAAGAGCAGGTAATAGCTTTTTTGTTTTAGAGAAATATGTTTAAGCAGGAAATATGGTTTTTAAAACTAAAACAGAGAGGGCAAAAGGAAAACCAAGTATTCCTTACACAGCATATTCCCAACAAAGAACTTATGATCTCTATAAAATGAAATATGTGACCAACTGGCCTTAAGGTTAGATCCTCAGTTTCCTTTCCATTACTTTGACTTTTCTTTCTGCAGCCCCGCTGCCTTTTCTACTAGTCTTAAATATCAAGCCCTCTCATTAGAGCCTCTGAATTTGCTGAATCTTAATCACCCATTTAGGCATCCCTTCTTCAGTGAGGCACTCGAAGACCCTCCTAGCTAGAGCTGTCATCTCTTGCCATAGTTCTCATCTTTCCCATCTGTTTTCTCCATGGCTGCTTGTCCCTCAGGTGCCTCATAGATAGGAAGGCATGCTCCAGAAGTTGTGTTCTGGAAAGGTTACACAATCACCACGAGCCATGTAAGGCCAAGGAGCATTCCTGCCTGGCTCAGGCCTGGATCCCAGTCACTCAAGCAGCATCGCACACATCAGCCTGTGACAATGACACCTAGACTGGGTGGCATTAGAGGGGTGCTTCCTTCCGAGGCATCAGGCTCTGGTCCTCACACTTGCTTCATCCTAGCTCAGTTACAGTCTTGAGAAAGTTTTAGGGTTTGAAAACCAGTTCAACAAGAAGTACACTTTTCACAAGAGCATGTGTTTCCTATCAATCTCTCTTAATCTAATTAGGTGTCTGTCTAGGTATCACATCAGGAGAAAAAAGCCAGCCAGTAACAGGCAACTTTGCTGCAGGGTGTGGATGAATCATCTCTGCAATACTTTCAAGGCTGTAGCTACATTTATTCCAGAGAATTGGCAGCTTACTCCATCTGTTCTGCCAGATTCTTCACTCGTATCTTCTACGTTAAAAAAAAAAAAAGGGAGGTGTTTCATGTCACCAACTTCAAGCTGCTGAAACAGGCATCCCAGACTTGATTACTTGTAGGAGATTTATGCTTTCATTTGTTTTGAAACTTGTTCTTGTTTCAAACATATAAGACAGAATTCTGCAAGGACCTTGTCCCTTACAATGAGGATGACAAGCAACAATGATTTAGTAATAAAGACCATTTTAGCCTTTTTTTTACTTAAAAATCTTCAGGGAATTTCCTCATCACACTGACACATCTAATTGGGGTAAAAAGGAGCTCTGAGAACACAAGTGAAACAAATGCTGGCCCTGCACTTGAAAACTACAGCATGTTTTTAATTTCCTTCTTAAGGCTTGACTGAAATTGCATAAAACAATACTTAGAAAAAAAATATCAGCACATGTCAACGGAGAGGCAACTGAGAAAAAACTGCTGTGCTATCCATTTTGGTTTTCATTTTATTGTTTTGTTCCACTATCCAAAAAGGACAAGGCTAGAGGGAATAGCAAACAAACAGTGGAGCTGCTTCCATTAATGTCCACACACATAAGAAATAATATATCTTTTTTAACCTGAAAATTTACAGAGAACTAATTATCAGATCAAAATACAACTTAAAATAAAAACAAGATGAAATTGAAGTTTAAGCCGTCCCCAGAGATGTTAAGCCAGAGGGCAGCTTCTACTTGCAGAAATGCTATGTGACAGGATGAGTCTGCACTGTTGTGAATGCCACCCATTTGCAGTCAGAAGATACCCCCAGCTGCCAGCTCAAAGATGGAAAAACAAACGCCTCAGAGAAAATTGTTCTCCAGCTAATTATTTTGTAATTCCTTTGTCTGGGATTTAAAGGAATCTTTTTGTCCTCACAAAATTACTGGAGGTTGTTAAACAACAGAGCAGACTAAGGTGAATTCAAAAGTAGAACCAACTTCTGTTGGGGGAGGGGTCTCAGCCAGTCTACTCAGATACTCTCTGGAATCGCTGGCATCACTGATGGCTCCCTTCCTCTGAGATGCTTCTCTAGTCAGTTACTGCTTGATGTTCCACCATGACTAGAATGTTCTCCCAAATGTTTCTTCCTTATTCGGCACCCCCCCAAACACTAATGTAGTTATCCATATCTCATTGATACAGAATTCTCCAGCTGTGAGGGAAGGAAAAAAGAGGGGAAAAGATTGCAGGCTTCACTGCAAGACTTTCTATCACAGCCTCTCTAGGTGTCCTGAAGACGAGAAAGAGAAGGTCAAAGGCAGGGAAAGAGGAGGAAGTGAGGAGGACCACACAGCACAGACACTTCCTTCCCAGAATCACAAGTGTTTGCTTAAGTTCCCTGCAGACTAAGAATGAGGCTGGGAGGAATCTGTGGTCCCACCATCCATACCCTTCATCTCTCGGCTTTTCTTCCCTGCCTCCTGAACAGCCATGCTACTCTTTCTACTTTATACCTCGCCCTAAGAGTACCTCATCCACTTTCAGGTGACATGGAAAACACTCCGCTTCACATAATACAGAACTGTAAGGATTACTTACTATATACCACCATTATCAAGTTACAATACAGACACTTATGCACTTATAGCACAAAAACACGTTTTTATAAAGACTGTGTAAATAAAAGTTTTAATAATAGCACATTTTAGAAAATATATGCTAATATGAAAGTCAGTAAAAGTTAAAATATCATAGAAACAATTTGAGGATATTTGAAGCCATGTGTGTGGTGATCATGGTTGAAGTATTTAAACAGTGAGTACAAAACCCAGAGGGAACGAAGAATCTCTAGAGGGCTAATCAGGGTTGGTAGGATGGTACTACAACTAACTGTATCCAAAAATTGTCAATAACCTACCCAGGCGAAAGGTTATTAGCTTATGCTTTCACTTTCTTTTTCACACCTCAGTGAACACACACAAGACAAGCAAACCTCAGAACATTATGGCTATTTGGCTATTTTTTAAGTGAAACTGCATACAAGAGAATGTATGCACATGTCAAGGGTAGGGGTAAGCATTTGAAGCTGCATACACACTTCCAATATATAACTGAGGCATTAGAGCACTTGATATCCGCTTAAATGTCAAGCACAGTCAACACACACACACACACACACACACACACACACACACACACACACACCAAATAACTACAACAATAAAGAAAAATAGGCCCTAAGGTTTGACAGTGAAAATTGCTTAAGCTTTCTTCATCACAAGGTGAAAAATCAAAACTCTGATCATTTAGAATCCTTGATTTCCATTAAAAATGAAGGCTTTGTTCTGTAAAACGATCTGAAATCTTTAAGACAGTTGTGAGTTACGTTGTGAATGATTAGTATTGAGTAATATAGTGTTTCCTTGAAATTCTTATTATCTTTTAATTTAAAAATAGGCTCACAACATATATACATCAAGAGAATAACCATTGCCACCAGAAACTTAAATAAGTAAACACATACTCAATACAGAATTTTATCTATTTCTTATTCCACGTTCAATGTATTTATGCTTTTTATACTCTAACTGTGTTGTTAGCCGGAGTCTGTTTGTCTCCTGTTAATGAGTTATGTTATGTTGACCCCATGCGGTGTTTTTTGGTTACAGGAATCAATCACCAGGCTTTCTAGCTAGAGCTAAAGTCGAAAATCACATAGCATAGGAAATATGGAGCCAGTATAAGGATGTAGCATTTTATTTAATCATATAATCAGAATATGTCATATACCAGTTTAAAATACTTTCAGAATACAAATAAGCTTGGTTTCTAATGTATTTTACATATTTACTATAACTATTACAACTAGAATTGTAAACATTTTTAAGAGATATTTTTATTTTGTAAGTGCCCCATAGGTAATAGACATTTTAGTGACACAAATTTCAATTATTTACAGAGAAATTTGATTTGAGTATATATGAAAAGTTAAAAAATTGTTTCAGTATTATGCCACTTGCTTTGGAATTTCTATGTAAAAATAATTATGAATATTAAAAGCAAAACTAATAAATAACAAAGTTATTGGAAAAAATCAGGAAGAAAAACAAATTCTTGAAAAGAGTTTTGTAAATTAATATGGACATAATATTGTGATCGAATATTAAACAGGAATTAAAAAATATATTGATGAAGAATATCTTTTGGTATAGAAAAAATATTTACTACAACTGGTTAAAAGAGAAAAGCAATTTAAAGTGCTATATTATACTATACAAATAATATATAGTATGCTATAGTATAGTATACTATAGGCAGATCAGCATATATATATATATATATATATATATATATATATATATATATATAATACCATAGAAAAATCAGCAGTCTATTTCTAATTCAAAAAATCTATTTCTGAACCAAAAAAAAAAAAAAACCACAGCCAAAGAAATGTTAGGACACAACTCTGACTGACACACAATTTGCCTGCCATTGGGCTAAAAGACTAACAAAGTAAAAAGGGGGTTGTTAAGAACAATTCATGAATCGCTAAACTAGCAAGCCACCTCCCAGGATCACATGACCTGACATACCAAGCTTGTATCATAAGAATCATTGAAAACCTGGAGGAATGATCAAATACTTAGCATGAATCAAACCGGCTCCCAAGCCTGAGGTTGTTGTCCATACCCTTGTGTATGTTGTGTGCATGTGACAAAAAGAAATGTATGCGGAGCGCTGAAGACAGGGAGAGAAGAGCACAGAGAGAGTAAGTAAGTATATATCTTACCTGAAAGAGCCTGGTAAAAATATCAAATTCAAAAACTGAGATGTAATCATTGCAAGTTAAATCAATGGTTGACTTTAGAGCCATTGCTTCTAGGCCAGAGCTAATCTGATGGACCTCATGCAGGCACTGTCTGAAGATTTTCCATGGTACAATAGTTCTGTCCAAGAGAAAAAGAGGAGTCAATGAATCAAGTGTCAGTGAAGATATATCTTCCACTGAAACCACAACATTAACAGTGCTTTATTTGTATTAGAATAGTTGAAACTATTGTTCATAATTCAGGCTCCATGTAATGTATCATTTGATTATTCTGTATTTGCTAAGAATCTGACTAGAATCTTTGTTTTTCTTTCAGTTCATGGACATCAAGATGCCTCTTTGACACATATCAAATGTCCTCAAATAGAGGACATTAGGGTCAAAGTGTTAGGTACCCTGATGTCTTTGCGTGTACACTCAAGGTAAGTTATCTATGGCTCAATCACCTACCATCTCTCAGATGCTTTTTGTAGAGGTGAAAAGTACACACTCTTTGACCTTCCATAAGAACGCAACTGGAAAGCTGTTCTCATAAATGAAAACATCTTGTAGGAATTTGTCTATTCAGTATATACCAATTAATATACTGTATTACATACTATATAGCAACAGTTTTAATAAGTAATTCACTGACATGCCTCAGAACTTTGGAGGACCAGTGAATGGATTCAGAGGTAGGCTATCTCCTATTCCTCAAACTTAGCAATTTCCAGTCCTCGCACACACTCCTTTCCACCATGAAAATCTGTAACATCCATCATTTGTTCCTTAGCAACCTTTCTTCCTTTCATAATGCCGAGTTCCTCTTCATGAATAGATGGAAGGAAGAAACTATTCATATTTTAAACATTTATATTTCAGTCTTCAAAACAGGACATATGAGCTATACGCATGCTTGAGAAAGATAGCACATATTTAAATCTTGTTTCTTTACCATTGTCTCTAGAGAAAATAAGCAGAAATGGGCTAAAATTTCCCTGGTCTTGGTCCATGCGAATTTTCTCAATGAAGATCACATATAGTTACAACTTGAATATTCTGACTTATTATCGTTATCTACAGAAGTCAAATATTAGCATAGATAGTCCACTAAAGGGTTACTGTCACAGAGAATTTGGAACCTAAGTCATTCTGTGAACCAGGAGCAAGACTGAGAATGACCCCAAATTGAGTTGACTATTGGTCTCTCAGAGCCTCTGATGGGCCACATCTACCAACTGGCACTGCTATGCTGTTGGAGGCATTAACTACGGAAAGGCCTAACACCACCTCTAGTTTTGTGGAGCACAGACTCTGGAGGTAGGATTCATAATGCTAAGTGACACAAGTGGAGAAAACAGAAAACCCTGATGAATGAATGCCCAACAAGAACTGGAGAGATTACAGGGAACTGTGTGGGAAGTAGGCTGAAAAAAAAATGCCAAAGTAGGGTTACAAGAGTATGCTGAACTTGCAGGGAAGCTTAGGTGTGATGCACCATTAAAGAAGAAAGCTAAGATGCGTAATACCTCAAAAGACTTTTCTCTATGTATGAAAAAAAACAGGAAACCACAGAGAACTGAAGAGAGACACCACATCAGATGCCATTTAACAGAAATATACGTCAGACTGTGATTAAGGTTAACAAAACGTTCCTGTCTCAAAAGAACAAGAAATATGTTTTAGTACTATTAGGAAGCTATTGTTTTATAGTGTATCTATGCAGCTTGGCCAGCTGCTCTGCAGAGACCACGAAAGCATTGCCTGAGAGGACCATACTCCTTTTCTGAATTGAAGTTTCCAACACTTCCCAGACACAAAGTACAAAAGTCATAATATGTAGAGGAAAAAATGTTGATCAAAGAACCACTTACTTCAGAATGACAGTGATAGAATTTTTTTCTAGAAAAGCACAATGTTACTTTATCTAAAAAGCATAAACTGCAAATAAACTGGCCAAATGGAGAAGTTCAGTCTTATGTGTATGTAAAGTATAAAAGTCAAAACAAAAGGTTCTGATAAACATTTTAATGTTACACTAAAGTTATCATATCCAATATTTAAAATTCAAGCAGATTATAACCTACTTTGAATATCTCCTGATTTTCCAGAGGCTAAAGTATACAAAATATTGGTACTTCTAAAATTTTAGTGTAACTTACAACTTCAGAGCAATAATTCCCATCATAAAAAGACACTTTTCCACAGTAGTTGTGTACTGAGATTTGATCATAGTTCATTTGTGATAAATGCTAAGCCCTAAGTATATTCATCAGAACCTTATATAAAGCCAATAAAGAAGGCTGAGGAACCAGAGCATTCATTATCTGTCTAGTTTATCACAGAGACCAAAGTAGGCTGGCTTCATAAGTGAAGAACAGAAAAAGGGTGCAAAGATGTCTTTTAAAGCAAGGAAAAACAAAACACAACACAACACTGCGTTTTAAAACTTCTGCACCTTGGGACTACTTCACAAAAATGAGCATCAGTGGCCACAGATGAAGCCGGAGCTAGACCACATTGATGGCAAAATGTTTCACAGAAACGGTCAAACTTGTGTGTCGTGGCAATGACTAAAATCACAGAGAGAAAAGAGAAGCATAAAGGGGACAACCTGAGCTTCGGTATCTCACAACAGCAGAAAATTTAGTCTGTTCTATTTGCCTTGCCACTTTGTCATGAAAAATCACAGTAGCTGCAGGGAGGATGCCATCAAAATATACTGAGAAAATACTTTCATTTTGATTACATGTATTTATTTCTGTACATATTTAAGAGTGTGTGTCTGGAGGGCAGGAAGGTGTCTAAGTAAAAAATGCCGTCGTTGATTCTCTCCTTCCACAATGTTGGTCATGGGGACTAAACTTGGGTGATCAGGCTTGGCATTGTGTGCCTTTGTCTGAGATGCCATCTTACCAGACCAAACACAGGTAATGTTCAATATATAAAACAAGTTAGATAAGCCAGTGGATATCCAGACAATTGCCTCAATAGTATGATCTCAGAATCGTTAGAATCTCAATAAGGAGAAGAGCCATGATTCCTTCACAGCTTACCATTGCTCACCTGAACTATAGAAATCTCTTAACAGCTTAGAAAAGGGAAAGTTGTTTCATATACTGTCCTAAGAGAAAAGAATGTGGTAAGTAAGACTGCGCTACCGTTCTATTATTACATGCTATATCTTAATCTGTCTAGAAAAAAACAAACATCCTTTCAGAAAGAATGAGAAAACGGGATCAATCAGATCAAAACAAACACACAGAAACAGAAATGGGGTCAGTAGGTCAGCAATCAAAAGATGGCTCAGTCATCTAGGTTGTCACTTGTGTGAAAAAGGAACTGTGCATCAGTCTAATGTGAAAGTTTTGCAATGTTAAGGTAAAGGAAAAGAATGAAAGATTTAAGTTAGATCTTCTATGGGATAGACATTGGAAGTAGGAGAAAACAGGAAACAGGACAGGAGCCTACCACAGCGGGCCTCTGAATGACTCTACCTAACAGTGTATAAAAGCAGATGCTGAGACTCATAACTAAACCTTGGGCAGAGTACAGGGAATCACATGAAAGGAGGAGGAGTTAGTAAGACCTGGAGAGAACAGGAGCTCCACTAGGAACAAATATATCTGGGCACAGAGTATTTTTCTGAGACTGATTCTCCAACCAAGGACCATGCATGGATATAGCCTAGAAGCCCTGCTCAGATGTAGCCTATGGCAGCTCAGTATCCAAGTGAGTGCCCTAGTAAGGAGAACAGGGACTGTCTCTGACATGAATTCAGTGGCTGGCTCTTTGATATCACCCACAGTGGAGGACATTGTAGCCAGTCCTGATGAGACCTGATAAGCTAGGGTCAGATGGAAAGGGAGGAGAACCTCCCTATCAGTGGACTTAGAGAGGGTCAGGGAGGAAATAAGGGAGGGGGATGGGATTGGGAGGGAATGAAGGAGGGGGCTACAGCTGGGATGCAAAGTAAATAAACTGTAATTAATATAAAAAAGAACCAATAGTAACATATTAAGTTCTAAAATTCTACTCCACAGACCTAGTAAAACTTGAGAGATGATTTTTTTAATTTTTTCAATTTTTTTAATTGAAGGATTAACCAGTTTTATTTTTCAATGTGCTAATTGTCTTATATAATTTCTTAAAAAATATATTCCAGATAAATTAAATAGAACGGTATGGAGAGCAAAGATATGGAATTATAAGCAAGAAATTACATTCGGCAAGGCTGTATAATTAAAATATAAGTTAAAAATTTACAAAAAAAAAAGAAAAAGAAAATCTAACTTCTACAGGAAAAAAACACTTTCATGAAACTTTTAGTTCATAGAAGGCTCTCTGTTTTATATGCACCACCTGAGGGAAATATCACAAAACAAAGGTGTGAGTGTGAGCAAGGGCAACATGTCTGAAAACAGAAACTTGCACTCACTTGTGTTAAGAGGGAAATTTACACAGCATTTGTGGAGGGGGAACTGGTAACAAGGTTCACAGCCTGTGCACCTTGAGAGTCTACTTCCGTGGGATGGATTCTCTCTAAGAAACTGTGCGCTAGAAAACATCTGACATGGGAAGACTCGCCTACCGGTCTCTTCAGGGCAGTGATCCGCTCCCAAACCAAAAGCAAAAAAGGTTCATGTTTAATGACAGAACGAAAGGCGGTAGCGCAGCGACTGCAATTGCACAGAACGATACTTACCATGCAAGAGTGTTCCTGGCCCATTGTTAAATAAGTTAATGTTTATTTAATTGCTGGCATCAAGGGTCCAATTTTAAACATTTTCATAAGACCTAAAAAGATTATTATAAATCTGACCTAGAATTTAAAACTACAAAATTCTAGATGACACAAAGGTATCCAAAAATATGAAGCACATGGGAGGGATTGTGGAGCTAAGAGAGGATGAACAAGGTCAATACATATACACAGAGTCAGAGATAGAAAGGTTCTAAAGAGATATAACCTTTAAGGAGGCTGACAGGCTCAGTATTAGAACGTTGTCCCTCCTTCTTAAATTGATCTATAGGTTTACTATAAGCTCAGTCAAACCCCCCAGGAGGCACTGCTGCAGTAGAGACCAATTCTAAACCTCACAGCGAAATGTCAATAATGGAGATTAAATAAAAAGTCTT